CAAACCCTTAAAACAAGGAGAGCTTGGAGTGGAGTATTTCAACCTTAAAAAAAAATAAAAAATAAAAAATTTCCAACTCACTAATGTATCCAGAAAATTATCTTTCAAAATTGATGGAGAAATAAAGGTACTTCCCCTGACAAAGAACACCTGAGAAAATTTATGAACACCGACTCAGCACTCCAAAATGATCCTGAACAAGATCATGAAGACTACAACTTCACAAACCCCAGCAGAATGAATACAACACGGAAGGCAAGAAATTAAATAAAGGGGATAAAGAGAGCCAACAACAGAAAAATAACATTACAAGGTAAGTCAATACATACCAGTTATAACCATCAATGATTATGGTCTCCATTCACCAAGTAAAAGAGACAGACTGGCAGAATAGACCAAGAAGCATGATCCAACTATGTGCTGCATACAAGAAACACATTTAATTAAAAAAGAAATTCAAAACTTGAAAGTCAAAAGGTGGAAAACAATACTTCATGCAACAGGAACCCGGAAAAAAAGCAGGGTTTTTATTTGCAGACAAACTGGTTTTGAAGCAAAGATTGACCAAGAAAGACAAAGAATGTCACTACATACCTGTTAAGGGAACAAACCAAGAGGAAGAGATAACAATTGTAACTATATCTGCACCAAATACAAGTGTACTTAACTATCTAAACCAAATAGTAAGAAGAGGGCAGGGGTATGAGGAAAAAATGAGAACAAAGATGTGTCATGTAAAGGTACAAGATCCCAATGTTGAATGTAACTGTAATGTACACTTAAAAAGTACCAATAAACTCAATAAGATAAAATAAATAAACCAAATATTAACAGACATGAAAAATCAAATAAGCACTAATACATAATATAATTGGGGACCACAATACCCTACTGTCATAAATAGATCAACCAGACAAAATATCAATAATGAAATATCAGAATTAAACCAAACTTCAAATGGACTTAGTAGATGTCTACAGAGTGTTCCGACTCACATCAGAATACACATTCTTCTCAGCTGCACATGGGGTGCTCTCCAAAATAGACCACATGCTAGCTCATATAACATGCTTAAGTAAATACATATTATCAGATCATAGTGTAATGGAACTGGAACTCAATGTCAAAAGAAACCACGAAAACTCCGTAAACACATGGGAATTGAATAGCGCCCTGCTGAACAACCAATGGGTCACAGATGAAATTAAAGAAGAAATTAAGACAGTTTCTACAATTAAATGATAATGCCAATACAATATACCGGGATTTATGAGACATAATGAAAGCAGTCCTACAACAGAAATTTATAGTGGTGAATACCCATATTAGGAAAACAGATCAAACTCTTCAAATAATCTAATGTTGAACCTTAAGCTTCTAGAAAAAGAACAAGTAAAACCCAAAGCTCATACAAGAGAGGAAATTATAAAGATCAGAGCAGAAATTAATGCAATGGAGACTAAGAAACAATGCAAAGAGTCAACATATCAAAGAATTGGTTCTTTCAAAGATTAAATAAAACAGACAAACCCTTAGCCAACCTTATCAAAACAAGGAAAGAAAAGACTCAAATCCACATAGGAACAGAAAGGGTTAGGGCAAGGGATGTAGCTCATTGGTGTCATTCAGGCCTTGCAAGCACAAGATCCTGAGTGTGATCCCCAGTATCAGGGGAAAAAAAAGTCAAGTTATCAGGAATGAAAAGGGTGAAATTACAACAGATCTTGTAGAAATGCAAAAGACTAGTACCTATTTGGAGAAACTTTATTCTAATAAGATGGAAAACACAGAAGACATGGACAGTGCCTAGACACATACAAACTGCCAAAGCTGAATCAAGAAGATATATAAATTCCAAATAAACCAGAATCAGTCAATGAAATTGAAGATGTAATAAAAAACCAAAAAAACAAAGAAAAGCTCAGGCCCTGATGGATTCACTGCTGATTTCCACAAGAAATTTACAGAAGATCGAATGCCACTACTCCTAAAACTCTAAAGAAATTGAAAGGGAAGGTATACTTCCAAATTCATTCCTGGAGGCAAGCATTACCTTGACTCCAAAATCAGAGAAGGATCTAACCAAAAAAGAGAACTACAGGACTACAGGCCTATCTCCCTAATTAATATAGACACAAAAATTCTCAATAAGATACTGGCAAACAGAACGCAGCATATCATCAAGATTATACACTCTAACCAAGTAGGATTCATACCAGTGACAGACACAGTGATGGTTCAACATACACAAATCGATAAATGGAATACACTATATTAACGGAGCCAAAGATAAAAAACCACACGACCATCTCAATAGAAGCTGAAAAAGCATCTGACAAAGTCCAACACCCATTCATGATAAAAGTCCTATAGGAAATTGGAATACAAGGTCTTTATCTCAACCTCATAAAAGCCATTTATGACAAATCAACAGCCAACATCATATTAAGTGGACAAAAACTAAAATCAGGAACAAGACAAGGATGTCCACTGTCATCAATCTTATGCAATATAATTCTGGAAACAGCCACAGCAGACAAGAAAAAAATAAAAATAAAAGGAATAAGGGTAGGAAAAAAAAAGGAGTTAAATTATCATTTACAGATGACATGATACTCTACATAGAAAACCCCAAAAACTCCACCAAAAACATTCTAGACTTAATAATCAAATTCAGGAGTGTAGCTGGATACTCAAAAATCAACAGCCTTCCTGAACATGAATAACAAACTCACTGAGAGAGAAATTAGGGAAGCAACACCTTTCACAACAGAATTCAAAAAAAAAAAAAATGAAATACCTAGGAATCAATCTAATGACAGAAGTAAAATACCTCTACATTGAAAACTACAGCACTCTGAAAAAAGAGATTGAAGATCAGAAAATGGAGACATCCCTTTTTCTTGGGTAGGAAAAGCCAATATAGTGAAAATGGCCATACTTCCAAAACTGTTACACAGATTCAATGCAATCCCAATCAAAACTCCAACAGCATATCTCACAGAATTAGCAAAAACAATCCCAAACTTAATTTGGAACCTGAAGAGATCTAGAATAGCAAAGGCAACTGTATACAACAAAGGCAAGACGGGACATCACCATCCCTGACTTGAAATTACACTACAAAGTACTGTGATAAAAACAGTGCAGTAACGGCAAAAAAAAACAGACTTCAGGATCAATGAAACAAATCAGAAGATGCAGAAAAATTTCCAAACATTCTCAGCCACCTTCATTTTCACAAACAAGTCAAAAACATTCACTGGAAGAAATGCTGCTAGAAGAACTGGGTTTCAACTTGCCAGAGATTAAAACTACACCCATATCCTTTACCATGCACTAAACTAAAATCAAAATGGATCAAAGATCTAAATATAAAATACAGAGATACTAAATGTGTTGGAAGAGAGAACAGGGAGATCTCTTGCAGACAGAGATGTAGGCAAAGACTTTAAAAACAAAACTCCAGTCACACAGAACTATCACAAAGAGGCCGGGCGTGGTGGTGCACGCCTGTAATCCCAGCACTCTTGGGAGGCTGAGGCAGGAGGATCACTGTGAGTTCGAGACCAGCCTGAGCTACATAGTGAGTTCCAGGTCAGTCTCACTACATAGTGAGACCCTGCCTCAAAAACCAAAAAAAAAAAAAAGAAAGAAAAAAAAAGAAAAGAACTACCACAAAGAAACAACAACTGGGATCTCATCTTATTAAAAAGAATTTACTCAGCAAGAGAAACCACCAATAGATTGAGGAGATAACCCACAGAATGGAAAAAAATGTTTACCAGCTGTACCTAAGATAAAGAACTACTATCTAGAATATATAAAGAACTTTAAAAATTAGAACCCCTCAATTTAAATACCCAATCCAAAAAAAGGGCATCTAAAATGAACAGACACTTCTAAAATGAAGTAGTAGTACCAGCAAAAAAATATGAAAAAATGCTCAACGTCACTAGTCATTCATGAGATGCAAGTTAAAAGCAATGCTGAGATTCCATCTCACTCAACAAAGAATGGCTAGGCCAGGCGTGGTGGCGCATGCCTATAATCCCAGCACTTGGGTGGCTGAGGCAGGAGGATCGCTGTGAGTTCGAGGCCAGCCTGGGCGACACAGTGAGTTCCAGGTCAGTCTCAACTACGTAGTGAGACCCTGTCTCAAAATAAAAACAAAACAAAACAAAGAATGGCTATCATCAAGAAATCAACCAATAACAGATGGTGGCAGGCTGTGGGAAAAAAGGAACCCTTCTCCACTGTTGAAACCACTATGGAAATTAGTGTGGATATTCCTCAAAAAACTAAAACTAGAAGTTTCATTTGACCTAGCTATTCCCCTGCTAGATATCTTCCCAAAAGAATTAAAAGAATCATACCACAGCAATACATGTGCACAGTTATTTACACACAGCAGCACACTTTGTAATAGTTAAAACTTGGAAAAAGCCCAATTTGCTCATCAACTGGAGATCAGATAAAGAAGGAGTTTTTTTTTAATAAAATGGAGTACTACTCAGCCATAAAGAATGCGAAACTAGAATCATTTATAACTAAATGGATGCACTGTGAGTGAAATAAATAGGACACGTGTGTAAATACCAAATGGTTTCTCTGGTGTGAGAAACTGAAAATGTAAATAAGGATCAAAATGTATAATAGATAAAATAGGAAGAAAGGGTCCAAAGGGGAAGGGGAAATGGGAGGGGTAGGGGGAAAGGAATAAATATGAGAAAAGGAAAAAACAGAAACAAACTCTTTGTTAACAGGGAGGGATGGAAGGGTTAAAGGGAGGGCAGGAGAATGGGGAAAAAAAGGAACCAAGATATATCTTGTAAAGGTACAAATTCCCAATAATGAATGCATCATATTGTATATCTAAAATGTATCAATAAACTTGATTTTAAAAAAAGTTTGGAATACATTTCCAATTTCTCTGATGCTGGCTCAGGATTAGAAACAAAAAGTCGTCTGGATGCTCTCTGCTCAGGTCTGCTCCCTACCTCGGCAGTCGGCGCAGCGTAGGCCATGAAAGGAGGGGGCGAAGAAGCCACCACAGTCTCATCAGACAGCACTGCAGAGCCCACACACACCTGTGTGAGAGAGGAGGAAGGGGTTGTGATAGCCGACCTGATGCCATGTGTGTAAATTCGAATCATTCTGGGTGGTCACCTTCCCCTTCACCCTTGGAGTCCCCTCAGTTAATGCATGACAAACTGCAACACCTGGTGGGATTCTGCACACATGTTATCTTCACTGCTTTGTAAACAGGATGCCCACATAAGTCTGCAACTGTTATCTGTGCTACCTTGTAAACCAGAAGACCTGTGTGACATTTTAAGTAAGCCGTGTAAAACTGTCCCTGACCCCAAATGACTTAGCAAAGTTCTGTTTCTGTGAAGTCACATTTGTGCACCCCTCTCCCCGAGCCCTCCCCAAATAAGAGCCCTTAAAAGACCCTACAAATTGCCTTTCCTCTGTGCAGAATTTTTTCAAGAGCCACTCCTAGCTGGCTTATAACAAGACCACTCAGTTCAGAGTGTGGTGCACCTCCACAGCTCCACCTCGCCTGGCCCTACCACAGAGTGAGGGTGGGCAGCAGTCTGCACTTCTGTACTCAATGCCATGCATGCACGCTATTTTTTTTAGCAAATAAAACAAAGGACAAAAAACTACAGTTCTGTAAGAACTAAAAATCTGGTCCAAAGGGGTGCTTTAGCCCACAGGGAAGTCCTGAGTTCAGGAGTAAGGTGCTCCAGCCTCTGGCCTCAGCAGGAGCAGAGCTCTCATGACACAGGAAGGCCCTAAAGGCTCCACTGTTACCAGAGCCTTTCAGAGACACTGCACCACTCAACAATCCTACACACAATTTGAAAAGTAACAGGTACAGACAGATTCAACACACTCTTTTGCATCAAAAAGGAAAGTTCTTGAAATTGCAACTCAGTGGTAGGGGGGAGAACTAAAAAAAAAAAATCCATACAAAGAATTACCTGGGTGGGGGGGAGAATTACCTTGGGATATTGCCTCAAACTATATGAACCATTAATACTAATTTCACCCAAAAAGAGAATAAATTTTCATGAAAGAAAGGGTAACTGGAGATACAGAGTAAGTTTTAAGGAAAAATGAAGCTGTAAAAAAACCTGTCTTGCTGGGCACAGTGGTACACACCTATAACACAATCCCAGCACTCCTGGAGGCTGAAGCAAGGAGGATCACCAGGAATTGGAGACGAGCCTGAACTACACAGAGGTCAAGGCCAGCCTGGACTGCACAGCAAGACCACCAAAAAAAAAAAAAAAAAGCTGTCTTGCAGTTTGGCTTTGGGGTTTTCTTCATTGGGGGGCAGGGAGGATCAGGCTCTGGCTATGTAACCCAGGCTGGCCTTGAACTCACAGTGATCCTCCAGCCTCTCAGCCTCCCAAGTGCTGGGATTATAGATATGCGCCACCATGCTGGCTAAAAAGAACTGTCTTTGGCTAATAAGAACCGAAGATACTACGTGTTGGGTATCAAGTCTTTTTACCTCTTTTCCTACGTGCACAAATTCTTCTGTAAACCTAATCTACTTTTTTTCTTTCTACAGAGATAAAGAAAAAAAAAAAAAACCCTACCTAAGGAATGAAAACTGACCACAGAAGTCATGTTTCCAAACTTCCTGACAGACACAAAAATGTCATTAATAGTTTCTACACATGAGCTTTACTACCTATGATTTCCCGAGGCCAGAAATGGTACTAAGACAAATACAAGTCCCCAAATTATTTTGACCTTATAGACCGAAATCTTATGCATAGGAGGAAGGGGAGAAAAGGGGAGGAATGGGAAAGAAAAAAGGAATTAAGATGTGTGTGTGTGTGCGCATGTGTGGGCGTGCACACACGCACACACACACAAACTTCCCACAAGAAATGTAAATATTATGTACTAAACACATGTACAACACATTAAACAAAAAAAAAGTTAAATAAAGACAACACTGTGGTTCTTTTTGTACCTTTACTATAAACCAGAGCAGAACTCAAGGTATTGCAAAACTTAAACACAAACATTAACAGAAAACAACACTGAAACTAGCAGGCCTTCGTGAGGAGGGTTCCTCTTGCCATAAAATGGCAAAACCTAGCCTGACCTCTGTCAGAGAGAGATGTCCCAGCTCTGCCCACTCACAGCTGAACGGGCAAGAAAGCCTGTCTTTTCAATTACCCTTTCTCAACCTCCTAGTCTCCAATCTATTGCACAAAATACAGGAGTGAAAATATTACTGGTGATCGCTATTAGCAACTAACTTACCGTATTTGTTCTGGAATCTTGCAATGTAAATTTCCAAGCCCTGAAGAAAAAAGAAGCTTACGTGAAACAATCCAACATTTCAATGGTTTTCAAAATCCATGCTAACATCAGAATTCCTTAAAACATTTGTTTAAAGAATAGGTATTTGAAAGTTAGGCACAGTGGCACATCCCTGCAGTTCCAGCTACTCAGAAGGCTAAGGTGGGAGACCCTAAGTTTGAGGGAAGGAACTTTTGTTTTGTTTTTTCAGACAGGATCTCAATTCATGGTTCAGGCTGGCCTTGAACTCATGTAGCCCAGACTGGTCTCAGACTTGCATGTATCTTCCTGCCTCAGCCTTCTGAGTGATGGCATAATAGGTGTGCGTCACCATGCCCAGCTGAGGCAGAGAACTTACTAAGACCCTGTTTAAAAAAAATAAAAAAGATTAAGGATATGCCACCTGCCTTACAAGCTCAAGGTCCTGAGTTCAATCCCCAGTACCAAAAAAAAAACAAATTAAGGATAAAGCTCAGTCCTCCTCAGGCTCAATTCCCACTGCCAAAGAGTGTGAAAGATGGGGGACAGAGGTCTTCAGGCCTTGCCCCTGGACCCACTTAATCAATCAACTCATTCAAGAACTACACCAGAAATAAGTATTTTTAAAATATATATCTATGGTAGATATTTAACACCTAAAACCTAAGGGGTACTATTTAATATTTGCTTTACTTTATAAGACCTTTTTCCAATATGCATTTTTATTAGTGCATATTAACTTTACAAAATATTGGGTTTTTTCTATGGCACTTTCATACATGAATATAATATACTTTCAAGGTCAGGAATTTAGCTCAGTGATGCCGCTGCCTGCCTTGCAAACACAAAAAACGAAGTTCAATCCCCAGTACCAAAAAAAAAAAAAAGCTTTCATATCTACCTTCCCTTATACTCCCTCCCATGCTCCTGCTTTACTTTCTAACAAATGTGAAATTTATCGCGACTTGCTCTCCAGTTCATGACATATACACATCTACTTCCTTTTCTCAGGTCATTAGTTCCATAGTATGACATTTAGCTTGTCAGTAATTTCTGCCATTAAAAAGTAATGCTCCTTGGGCCAGGGATTTAGCTCAGTGGTTCTGGCACCTGCATCGCAAGCACAAGGAACCAAGTTCAATCCCCAGTACAAGAAAAAAAAAAAAATAGAATTCTCCTTCCGCCACCTGCCTCACAAGTACAAGGTCCTGAGTTCAATCCCTGGTATCAAAAAAAAAAAAAAAAAAAGGGTGGGGATTTAGCCCAGTGGTTCTGCTGCCTGCCTTGCAAGCACAAGGGCCAGAGTTCGCATCTGGGAAAAAAAAAAAAAAACAAAAAAAAAAAAAAGGGTGGGGATTTAGCCCAGTGGTTCTGCTGCCTGCCTTGCAAGCACAAGGGCCAGAGTTCGCATCTGGGAAAAAAAAAAAAAAAAAAACAAAAACAAAAAAGAATGCTCCTGGCCAGGCACAGTGGCACACAACTGTAATCCTAGCACTCAGGAGGCTGAGACCAGTCTGGGCTACATAATGAGTTCAAGGCCAGCCTGAACTACATAGCTAGATTGTCTCAAAACAACCAGAACAAAAGAAATATAAATCCCTACCTTCATGCAGTACACAGTTAGGCAATTACTGTGTGTGGACATGATAGAGAGAAAATATTTTAAATATGGCAGTCAGGGAAGCATTCTGGGAAACTCCTCCTGTCTTCGAGCATTATTTGCCTCCAGCCTAAGGGCTTTCCTGCCCTTTCCTTCCCTTACTTTTTCTTCATGATGTATTCCCACAGTTGCCAAGCCATTTCTATGTATCGTGCTCGTGTTCAACCTGGGAAATGATACCCAAAGCTTCCATTTGCTCTGATATGGTATGCATTACTTCCTGTTGGCACCCTTCCTACCTAATCTAGTTCCACCTCAGAGCTCTAGCACACTCCACTCCAGAAAGAGCTGGATGTCTCGGTTTCCCACAGTCAAAGGTTACAGGGATAGAAGAGGAGGAAATTTTTTCTGAGACTTGGTAAATTCTTTCTGAAAAATGTAAGTCCCACACAGTCTTCTGAGCAAAATGCTTTGAATATCTCATGTAGGGCTCACAGCAGCAACCAGGGAATTATCTAACTCATGCAAGATGTAACGTCTTTGATGTACTATTACATGACAAGCCTTGGGGAAGCTTCCAGCCTCTGTTGAAATTCCAAAGGTATCTACTCTAGGGTTGTTTCTTAGCTTTTCCAAAATATACCCATTTTTTTCCTTTTTGGATTTTTGAGACAGGATCGTGCTCTGTAATACCTTATTCTCTTAATTAACATCACTCTAGATTGGAAAGTTATTACTAAAAATTTCTGATGTAGGGCCAGGGAGTTAGCTCAGTGGCACTGCGCCTGCCTCGCAAGCACAAGGTCCTGAGTTTGATCCCTGGTACCCCCCCCAAAAAAACTGTGATGTTTAATTAACTCACCTTGCTACCGCTTCTGGGATTTGAGGTGAGGTTAAGGACAGTACTGTCTCAGCAGAAGCATCTAGTTCTTCCTTTATCTCTGTGCAGTTTGTACTTGAAATACAACTTTTTTATTGGCTAGTGCCATTGAAATGTTTTACCCTTTACTTCACAGGGTATTTGGGGAAGATGTTCCACATTTATTTCAACATCTTTGCACAGAAACCTATTATGAATTGAATAATATCTCCTCAAAAGACATACTGAAGTCCTAATCCCCATTACCTAAAAATTTGAAATTATGTGGAAATGGGGTCTTTGCAAAAGGAATCAGATTTCAATGAGGTCATGCATTAAGGCTGATCCTATATCCAAAATAAGGGAGTCCTTTATAAAAGGGAAATCTGTATACAAACACATGTCATGTAACAACAGAAGCAGAGACTGCAGGGATGCAGCTGCAACCCAAGGAACACCAAATATCAGCAGCAACCACCAGAAGCTAGGAAGAGTCAAGGAAGGATGCTATCCAGTTCCAGAGGGAGTGTGGCGCCACTGAAGGCCTCATTTTAGATTCGTAGCCTCCAGAACATAGAATCCATAGGACCTTGATATTGGGAGATTATCCTGGAATATCCAGGTAGGCCCAATCTACGCACAAGTCCCTAAAGGCATATAACCTCTCCTGGCTGCATGTCAGAGGGCCGTGTGAGAAGTGTCATAATGCTGCAGGCTGTAAGAATCAAGAAAAGGCCAAGAGCCAAGGAATCCAAGAAACCTCCAGCTGGAAAAGGGAAGGGAATGGATCCTCCCTAGAGTCCAGAAAGAACAAGGCTCTGCAGGTCATGTACAACCAAGCTTCAAGTTGAACTTAAGCTTTACCTCTCTATGCCTCAATTTCTTATACCAGAAACAGTAACACTCATTTCATAAAACAAAAAAGTGAATTAAAAATACCTGACGGGGCCAGAATTTAGCTCAGTGGTTCTGCTGCCTGCCTTGCAAGCATAAGGTCCCAAGTTTGATCCCCGGTACCAAAAGAAAAAAAATCTGACACTGTATCTAAAAGTGTACCTTGACTTATTTAGTACAATGGTCTTACATGTTTTATATGTTCTTTGGCCTATTAGTCTGGTTTCAATCTGTATATGATAATTAACTTTATAAGGTCTTATAAAATAAATAAATGAATCTAATGCTAGAAAATTAAAACGGGGTGAAAGGTGGTAAAAAGGGAACTGAAATGTGTTAGGTACCTGTACCAATCCACTATAGTGCATATCATCATTATATATTATGAGCATATACTAATAAAAATTTTAAAATATGTAAAGCAGTCATCGGCTCCATACCTAGTGCAAAGTAAATTCTCAGTATATGTTAGTTTAAGCATCCGATGGTAACAATAGAGTTCTAGCAGCAAACTAGCCTGACAAGGTCAATTCTTCTCCAGTCCTTAGGAAAACTGTATCTGTTTCACAACATGTCAGTTAAGACTGATATAATCAAGATAATGTACAAAAATGAACTGCACCTCAAATTTAAAACCTAAAGTTTGACAGAATATTTACATCAAGGATGAGCACAAACTGGTAACATGTCTACAGGCTTCCTGAAAATGTCATGTTCTTACTCACGAGTGTTTCAGTTAGCTCTGCCAGTGAGTTCTCATGATGTCCAGACTTAGCCCACTAAAGTTGTAAAGCAGACAGAGAAAAATCCAATCTCACCACTAAATTTAATTCAAACAAGTGTTTTCAAGGTAAAGAACCATTATCAATGCCAACATTAACAGGCTGAGGACTAGAGGATCGGGTTTTTCTCCCGAGGTTTGGTTCCCTGTCCCTTTTTCAGAGATATCAGACAAGAAGAACTACCAAAGAAAGGGAAAAGCTCCAAAACATGGATGTTGACACTTAAGAAAGACATATTTAGATCAGGGCATCGTAGTAGATACCTATAATCCTAGCTACTCAGAAGGCCAAGACAGAAGAATCTCAAGTTCAAGGCCAGGCTAGACAACTCATCAAGACCCTATCTTAAACTAAAATAAAAAGGGCTCAGGATGTAGCTCAGTAGTAAAATGCTTGCTTAGTGTTATGGTTTGGGTCTGGATGTCCCCCCAAAGCCTCATCTGGTAAGAGGTAGCTGAATCTGGAATGTGTGATGCTGGGGTTAAGGGCATGTGATTCCTAAACCACCAGTGGTTTACCACCATCCTAACCCCCAGATTAGTCTGGATGGGATAAAAGAAGCAGAAGGCAGGTGAAAGCCCCTTGTTACCTTTGCAAACTTGTGCACACCATGTTGTTTCTCATCTTTGATGCCTGTCTGCCATCGCTGTTTTGGAGCCAGCTGATTATGAACTGAAATCTCTACAAACTGTAAACCAAGTAAACCCCTTCCCCTCTAACTTTGGGTAGTTTGTTTCAGCACTGAGAGAAAGGTAACCAACACACCTAGCATATGCAAGGCCCAGGGTTCAATCCCAGACCCCGTAAAAAAGAAAAAAATGTGTAAAGATCAAGATTCACCTAGGCCTATTATCCAATGAGAATCTAATAATGAAAAAGAAGGCACAAAGTAACTATTACTTTCTGTCATTCTCATCATAATGAGATCCTACCTAGGCAGAAATTAGATCAAGAAATGCCTATTACATTTCTCTCACATCTGCCGAGCCCCTATTTTGCTTCCTGAAGCAAACCACTTCCATTCTTCTCTCCCTGAAAACTGAAAAAAAAAAAAAAATTTTTTTTGGTCCTGGTGATCGAACTCAGAACTTTGTGCTTAGGAAGCAGGCATGATTTAGCCATTGAGCTAAACCCCACCCCCAAATTTTTATTTTATTTTTGGGGGGTTTTTTTTTGGTACCGGGGATTGAACTCAGGTCCTTGCACTTGCAAGGTAGGCCACCAAACCACTGAGCTAAATCCCCAGCCCTCAAATTTTTAATTAAACACATAAAATCAAAACTCACAAACAATCATCTGTGCTTTCTGCACAAAGACTAATCGTCTTCCCATCTCGGCAGATGATCTGAAGCAGACAATCTTTTGGCTTCCCATCTGGAGGCTGAATGTCTATGAAGAAAAAGCAGAAAAGAGTGTAATTTACATAGTTTTTTTGTTTTTTAGAAAAACATTTCTTCTTAGGATTTCTAAGTCGTAACAGCACAGATGAGCCAAGAACTACACTATAAATCAGTAACACAACCAATGGCCTGACCATGAAGGTAGAAAGTGGTGAACTAGGCTGACGACAAATATGACAACTCCTGGAAACTATGGCAGCACAGACTATTAACTATAGTCATCATCAAACAGATGCCAGTTTCTATGTCACAAAACCAACACGGTCTAATGTAGCCACATCCTTTTTGGGGCTCCTGTCATGCTGCTTCCTTCTCTACCAGACAAAGTGACACAAGATAAAAAAGTCCAGCTTGGATGAGACAAATCTATCTGCCCAACTACGGTTCATTCTCTAGACCCAAGAGCCCCACTGTGGCCTCCCTCCCAGACAGAGCCCTTCTTCAGTCTGTTAGCGGAAGCAGACCAGGTACCAGAGGACTCAGTCACCAGCAAGACTGAGGAAGAGCAGATGACAGAAACTGGACAAGGGAGACCAGCTTACCCCGACACTCGTGCCCTGTGCGGACATTGATGCAGTCCACTGGCATATGGACTTTATCCTCAATACTCTGGCGTGTCTGATCATCGTAATAGATCAAGTGACCATCTGACCACAGGTCAAACCAATTCTTTTTCCAGCGCTTTAAAATCGTACCTGTAAAAAATGAGAAAGGATGACTTTGGGTCTAAAGAAGACTTTGTCCTCCAACTACCATCCAAGTACTAACAGGCCCGACCCTGCTTCACTTCCAAGATCAGACGAAGATCAGGAGAAATAAAGAAAACTCTTCCTTGAGCCTCTAAGCACACCTACGCAAAACCGCCTGAAACAAATGGAAACAAACACCTCGGCCTGACCGCCCCGCAGTTTGCAGGGCTGCAGGCACTGCTCTACAAGACACCACAGGCTGCCAACCAGAGGACACAGAAGTTCAGTTTTAAAAGAAAAAGCTAGCTTTTGAGCAATGAAGGAAGTCTAACATCCGATTTCCCAGGTCCACCTAGGGAACTAAATCTTTGTTTTGTTTTTGGCAGCAATAAGGGCTGAACCCAGGGGTGCTTTACTACTGAGCTACATCCCCAGCCCTTTTTATTATACAGTCTTGCTAAGTTGCTTGGGCTGGCCTCAAACTTGATATCCTCAGGCCTCAGCCTCCCAAGTAGCTGGGATTATAGGTATGTGCAATCCACACCCCCATATCCCTAGCTAAACTTTTTTTTTTTTTTTTTTTTGGTACCAGGGATGGAACTTGGGACCTTGTAGCTTGCAAGGCAGGTGGTGGAACCACTGAGCTAAATTCCCCAGTCCCCCACTAAACTTCTGAACTTTCTAAACTTTCCTAGCACTATCTAAATTTGCAGGATGGACCTGAAAATGCTAAACTAGAAAGTCTCTAAATGCAAATGAAAATAATACCTCCCTCTTTGAAAAAATTTGTTTTCTTCATCCTTAAGAGCTTTCAGGGGACCAGGGGTGTAGCTCAATGGCACTGTGCCTGTCTGGCAAGTGCAATGTCCTGAGTTCAATCTCCAGTACAAAATATACACACTTTCCCACTTCCCTTCACAGGAAGCCCAAAGCCTGATGCAGATAAAGACACACAGACACTGGAGAAATGCACATCCCACCAGTTCACATCTTTCTGTCAGTCTGAGAGAATCCACATTTTCACTGTGATATTTGTAAAATCCGGCAGTTAACCTTCTAACGTCTACCCTAGGGAACCCCCTTGCAGTCGATCTGAAGTCAGTGTTTAGCTCCAAGTCTCCTGGTACCTTCTTCACATCCACATGCTACCTTCTGTTCTGGGTCCCATGCTACTCCTGCTCAGTGCGCACAAATCCCATTCCACATAACCCTTCTTATGTCCTATGCCTGCTACTGGTTGGCCAAATGATGTGCCAGTCAGACCAGTGTCCTACCAGTATCGAGTGTCTACACTGATCAGTACTGACATGCAGCATCCATGCAAATGGCAGCTCCTGCACTATACACAACCAGGATGAGGCATGAAAAGGCAAAAGGGGAATCACCGGGTCGAGAAGTTCTGCCGCAATATGCCAGGCTACGGACACCCAAATCAGGCTGCCCTCCCGAAGCCAGGCACCAGATCCCAACAGTCTATGTGGCAATCGCACGAAAAGGAATCCTGGGAACCACTTGACTCACATGGAATCACCGGTGTATCTCTGCTGCTCTGCAATCCAGTGAAAGCAACATATCTCATTTTATGTTGCCTAGCTGCTCTTGCTTTCAGCAAAGAAAAATCAACTCACATGATGGACAATGGGGCTACTGAGTAGGTCTTCCGAATATACAACTCCAAAGTGGCCACCGGCCAGGAAACTGCAAATGTCTGTACAACTTAATACAATTTTTTACTTGTATTTATTTTTTATTGACTGAATGATTGATTGTGGCGTTGGAGCCTTTTGCATACACGGCAAGTACTCTACCAATGACACCTAGCCCGAGAACATCGATTTTGTGTCTGTGTGGCCATATGAGACACTGGTGGACAGCACAAACTGTTAAAAAGATCACTGTTCACTTTGTGGGAAAAAATATCTAACTTGATGTCTTAGTCACTTTTCTCTCGTGGCTGAGACAAAATACCTGACACCCAATGCTAAAAGGGAAAGGGTTTACTTAGTTCAATTTGTAGAGGTTTCAGTCCATAATCAGCTGGCCCCAAAGCAGAATGGCACATGGCAGAGGGGCAACAGTTCATGGCGGACCAAACATAGCAAACCAACAAGGGAACCAGCAAAGGACCTTAACAGCATCTCTTGTATACTCCATCTACGCTACTGGGATTAGGGTGCTGTCAAACTAATCAGTGGACTGACTTAGTAATCACACACCCTTAATTCCAACGTCACACACTCTACATTCAGCCACCTTTGAAAAAAAAAGCCCCATCTCTCTGGCATGAAGCTCTGAGGGGACATCTAGACACAAGCCATAACACTTGGCCTCCCTTAAGGAAGGAGAGTTAGTCTTCCTCTGGTGTTGCCACAAATCCAGAGACTAGGAAAGGTTATGTAACGGGTATGATGGGGCCACTCTCATGCCTCCCACCTTCTTTATGTACCGTTTCAGATGGGAAATCTGGGAGCCTCCCTCCTGCAGACATAATGGAAGATATCTGATCCTCAATCCCAGAAGAAAAAGGGCACCCAGATATGGATAAGGTATCCTGTGGGAGATGGTGAGACCTGGCCAGCAGGAGGAACTATAAACTATAACACCACCCTACAGCAAGATTTGCTTTGTAAAAAGGAAAGGAAATGGTTAGAGGTTCCTTATGTCTAGGCTCTCTTTGTCCTAAGGGATAATGAAATATTTTGTAAGACGTGCAAAACCAATCAGCCTTGCTAGGGGATCTAGCATTGGGAGGGGTAGAAAATTCCCAAGCCCAGTGGGCCTCAAGGGAGTTAGGCTTCATCCCTAGGAAAAGGACAGGGGGACACTAAGGGGGCAAGAAGGGGTAAAGAAAATAAGCCCCTGAATAGTATCCTCCTATGCCCCAGATGTCCCCTTTATCATTTAGCAAGCCCCTAAGGTTGGGCAACCCAGCCCCTGACCCTGCATCTTTGTTACCCCTTCAGGTAACCAAATCAAACCCAATGAACCCATATTCCCTTCACCCTAAAGGAATTCAGACAGATAAAAAAGGAAAAGTTTGCCAAGAATCAGGTAAGTTTACTGAGGTACTTATTGAATGGGCTGAGAATTACAATCTGACCCATGAAGATGTACTCCTTATTCTGGGACAAGCTCTCATAACCACTGAAACAAACAAGGTACAGGATAATGCCCAAAGATATGAGAATGAACAGTATCTTGCCAGAGTAAACCATAGGACCCTTTCAATCCAGTATCCTGGCCCCAGCTCTAAGAAAGTATATACAAGATATGGATATTTTATAATTTGCATCAGAGAACCACCAAAGATCAAGATAAAAACTTGGTAATTACCAGAAGCTTTCTGAATAAAACAGAAGGAGCATGAGAGTTCCAGTGATTTCTATGAAAGACTGAAAGAGGCCTTGTTTTTGTTACTTTTCTCCTTGCTGAGACAAAATACTCAAAACACAACATTAAGGAGGAAAGGTTTATTGCTGCTCAGTTTGTAGAGGTTTCTGTCCACAGTTGGTTCCAAGGTGGAGTGGGGTGGCAGAGGTGTATTGCAGAGGAGAAACAGTTATGGTGGGCAGAAGGCAAAAACAGCAAGCAGTAAGGGATGACAGCAGCCCTCTTTCTGTCCCTTATATTCTACCCAGGCTACCCACCCTATTCTCAGTTTTAGATTTAACAGATACTTTCTTCTGTATCTCTATATACTCAGATTCTCAGTATCTCTGCCTTCCACGCAAACCTCTCAGTTAACCTGAAGGTCTTGCCCCAGGGGTTTCATGACAGTCCTAGTCCTCACCTGTTTGGACATGTTCTTTTCAGAGATCTTGACTTTTCCTGTCCAGACGTAAAAATTCTTCAGTACATAGATGACCCCTCTGGTTTGTGCCCCAATGGAAAAAGACTGTAACCGAAGAACCCAAGCCCTCCTCAACTTCCTGGCACAGAGTGGCTATAAAGTGTCCAGAATAAGGCCCAATTGTACCAGCTCTCAGTAAAATATTTGGGGTTAACCATTTCAGAGGGACCCGAGCTCTGGGAAGGAACTAAACTGAGCCAATTAGCCTCATTTCGCTCTCCAAAGACTTTAAAACAGTTAAGAGGCTTTCTGAAAATCTCCAGGTTTGCTAACTGTGGATTCCCAACTATAGGGAGATAGTCCAACCCCTATACCAGATGCTCAAAGATGACCCAAAACAAGGACCCTTACTATGGGACCCTAAGGGCCAAGGCACTTCTAGACCCTGAAAACACACTTCTCCAGGCCCCTGCTTCGAGCTTGCCAACCAGAACCTCATTCAGTTTTTATGTTATGAAAAGGAAGTGACACTCAGGTTACTAGATCAAGTTAAGGGGCCTGTGCAACGGGGGATCTGAGTAAAGAATTGGACTGGGTGTTTAAGGGATGGCCGGCTTGCCTTTGGGCTTTTGCCATTATAGCTCTACTGATCCCCAAGGCCACCAAACTAACCCTCGGCAATGACCTGACTGTATTCTTCACATCATGTTTTAGGGGTGCTGGCCTCCAAGGCAGCCTTTGGCTGTCCAACAGTCAGCTGATAAAATACCAACAAGTCAAGTTATCAGAGGGGCAAGCCATGCAGGTCAAGACTTGCTTCCCACTAACCCTTCTACCTTCCTCCCAGGAGAACATCAAGATGACTGGACACACTATTGTGGACAAGTGTTGCTTAACACCTATGTGGCAAGGAGGACTTGAGGGATTTGCCATGGGAAAACCCAGACAGGATTTTCTACAGATAGGAGTTCACCTGGAAAATGGAACTAAAAAGGCTGAATATGCAGTAGTAACCCACTCCCAGACAACTAAGAGTTCATCGCTCCTGGCTGGAACCAGTGTCCAGCTGGCAGAGTGGATAGCCTCAACCCAGGAACTGGAACTTAGTGAAGGAAAGTGGGCCAAAATATATACTAATTCTACAAATGCTTTCCTTGTCCTCCATGTCCATGCAGCCATGTAGAAAGACTGACACTTCCTCATAGCCTTCAGAGTCCCTAACCAGTATCATCAGGAGAGAGACCAGATGGCAGTGGATCTACACTCAAGACATTCCTAAACCTAAACCCACCATGTATGAGACCTGTAGCCACAGCCTCCTTTGCCTGAAAGAGGGGTCTAATGTTACCTTTCCAAACTGACAGCTCCATCCTGGTATATGCCACCCACTGTTAGGACTACATCCACACACAGGGGATCTGGCAGGTAGGCTATGTCCTACAGCCTGAAAGTGATCTGGCGGTCTATGAGCCCAAACAGAATCACATCACCATTCAAAAGAAGGTGGATGTCAAAAGAGGGCAGGGGGCCTAGTGGTTGCAGGGGTGAGTCTTCCTCCATATAATTAGAAAAGCTCTAGCATTTCAGCATCTGAGGCACTGCTCAATCCTCAGATAAACAGGCACATCTTACCCGCAAAGAGATCAGCCCCTCAATGCCAATACAGCAGTAGCTCAAGTCATTCCAAAGTATGCTGTGAGCAAAGAGACCAAAGACAGTCTCACCAGTGTTTCCCAGTCTATAAACTCAGCAACCAAGGAGTTCCCTGTGTGCAGAAAGTTTACAGAGTTCTCAAAACTCCCAAGAGGAAATTCAAGGCAGCAATATAGTAAAACTTCGATATGTTTTTAAACATGATCTGTTTCAAAATACAGAAACAAAGATGTCCCCAAAGCAACCCTAAGTGGAGGCCCACATGTCCAGTACTCACTCTGTCGAAGCAACCATCCACTCTTCACAAACGCCATCTCTTCACCTGTGAAACAGAAAACAGGCAGGTTCACATCACAGCCAGGTACAGAAGGTCTCATCTGGTTCAAGCCTAATCCTTGTCCTCAGAGCAGGCCAAGGAACAGCCCAAAGCCACTGGACCTCACTGGTTACCTGACATTTATGAAAAACCTCAGTGGGGTCCGAATTCCCAGCCCTTCCTTGCACTCTAGGCTTCAGCCGCACCACCCACCACGCTGGATCTATCACACATGCAACAACCCTGGCACACTAAGATTCAGCTCTGATGAGCACATGCGTAGAGGACTAGCATCCAACTGTCTCAGCTTGACACTTAGCATGCCCAGCCAGGCTCAGGCTGCCACAGTGGTGTCAGCACAGTGGACAGCAGACACAGTAAAAACAGGAGTCAAGAAAAGGGTTGAAAAACCTAACTTCATAAAAATATAAACTTTTGTATGGGGGAAAAGTAAAAATGGGACGAATGACAAATCAGGGGAAAAATATTACGACCCCATGATAGCAATGAGTATATTTTCTTCACTTAAAAAGCTCACGTATACCATAAATAAAGAGCAATCATTTGTGGATTCACACACACAAAACAAAACTCATAAAAAGAGACTCAATTTCTCTCTCAATTCAAGGACAAAATTCAAAATGTAGTTAATTTACCTATCAGACAGACAGCCCAGAAACATGCTGCAAATGTTTCTGGAAAGAATCCGACAATCTGTCAAAATTTTAAGTTTCTACCTAACAATTTCACCATTACTAGGAATCTTCCTTGTTGATACATGTGCAAAGGTGCAACATTTACGTACAGAGACATTCACTACAATGTCATGCTTGCTACAAAGGGAGAGGGAAGCTACACAGAGGGGTGTGCAGCAGGCACCTCTGCCTGTGACAGATCAGCAGGCAGAAGTGACAGTGACAGAGCCTGGAAAGGGCCGCCATCATCCTGATGAGTAAACTGGCCTGCCACCTTAGAGATATAGGCTTCATTTCACCGAAGGTCACGGCAGCAGGTCACAAGCAGTACCCAGAAGACAAGTTAGCAGGTTACTCCAGAGAAAGCCCACAGTTTCTCCAACCTACCCCCTCAAAGCCCGCCAAAATAACATTGTTTTTAAAAAGCCTCTTGGCCTATAAAAGACATCTCTGTCCTTCTGGCACATCTGGAACCTGAGACCATAGGCTACTTTTGTTTCAAATTTTTTTTTTTTTTTTTAGTATTTTTTTAAGGCACTAAAAGATTTGAAAAGTTAACAAATCACAGCAAAAGATGGAGTGGAAAATTCAAAATGCAAATACAACTCTCTCCACATCAAAGTGTGGCTGAAGTCTCACTTTCTCTAATGCTTTAGGAAAAGAGCCCCACAAACCTCAGTTGTCTTACACTCCAGTATTCCCAAATTCGTAGACTCTGAAGGTTCTAATCCTTTGCAATTTTGTCAATGCTGCTTGCCCTACCAAGAAATGAAAGAAGTCCATCTTCCCCACACAATCTTGCTCTCACACATTCAGCTTCTCAAAACACACAAATACAAATTAACCCAGAAAGCCCAGGCCCCTTCTCTCAGCGGGTGTAAACAGAGAAGCTGCTCCCTGCCGCTGGCAGCCACACTAGGACCAGGCGACCACACAGTTCAACCTAGAGACTGCCGAGCTACCAACTGGCCCTGAAACCCACCCTAATCTGGGGCTTTCTGCTAAGCAAAACTGTAAATTTATCCTTTAAGCTGGGTTAAATTTGGTTTCCCAAAACCAAAAGCTAAAACAATCATTCTTCCAAAGAGATCTGAGGCACAGAAACAATGCCATCTTATTTTCATCAAACAAAAACGTTCTTAGAGCAGCTAATGTATGCTCAGCACTGTCTTAGACACTAAAGATACAGTAGTGCCCAAGTCCAACTGCCTGCTTTTCTATAGCTTACACTCTAATAGAAGGAATAGATAAAACACAGATTTAAAAGAAATAGAATGTTGTAGACAGCATCACATCTCTGCAGTGACATTATCACCTCAGAACATGAAACTAGCTAAGCATTATGTATGCATGCCACATCAAACTACAACCTCCGATGGCCATGATGTCTTAAGAAAAAGAAATTATCCAGCAAAAGGCAAAAAACTACTTAGAAAGGTATTGGGAGCCACCTAGTTACAATATAAATAGAAAACCTGACCCTGACTCAACTGTCACAATTTTGCTGTCACCTTATTAGTTGGTGGTTGTGAAACCTGCTACTAATATGAAAACAATATAATACAGAACAACAGAAAGCAATCTCCTGAGCTTGTGATATATTTACTTAAGTCTCAAATGGTTCTTGACATTAGTTTGGCTGTATTTGTTAGCATTAACAGTCAAAATATCAGCCAGACTCGGGAGGCTGAGGCAGGAGGATTGCTGCAAGTTTGAGGCTAGCCTGGGCTAAATAGTGAGTTCAAGGCCAGCCTGAACTACACAGTGAAACCTGACTCAAAAAGTAAAAATGTCAAATCACTGTAACACAGGTTGAGAACAGCTTCACTTAAAAGGCCTTAAGACTCTGAATGCACAACAATACACACTGGTGAGATTATCACCAACACCAGAAGTAGGAAAATAGTAAGAGTTAAAAGACAGCTGGAAGTAACGCCCTAAGGATCTAGGAATTTCTATTATCCCTGACTATGATCCACTGAGTGTGTACATGTGAACATCTGAATTGCCAGATATGGTGCCTATTTTTTTTCAATGGTGTCTTCTTGGGGTAAGGACTGGGTTCTTTTTTTTTTTTTTTTTTTTTTTTTTTTT